CCTCATGTGGAATGTTGGTGTAAAGAGCTTCTACATCCATGGTGGCCAGGATGGTGTTTTCAGAAAGATCACCGATGCATTGTAGTTTCCTCAGGAAGTCAGTGGTGTCTCGAAGATAGCGAGGAGTGCCGGTAGCATAGGGTCTGAGGAGAGAGTCCAAATAAGCAGATAATCCTGCTGTAAGAGTGACAATGCCTGAGATGATGGGGCGTCCATGGTTTCCAGGTTTATGGATCTTGGGTAGCAGATAGAATACCCCTGGTTGGGGCTTTAGAGGTGTGTCTGTGTAGATTTGTTCCCGTGCTGTAGCAGGGAGTTTCTTGAGCAGATGGTGTAGTTTCTTTTGATACTCCTCAGTGGGATCAGAGGATAGTGGCCTGTAGAATGTGGTGTTGGCGAGTTGTCTGGCAGCCTCCAGTTCATAATCCGACCTGTTCATGATGACTGCAGCACCTCCTTTGTCAGCCCTTTTGATTATAATGTCAGAATTGTTTCTGAAGCTGTGGATGGTGTTGCATTCTGTACAGCTGAATGCCCCACCATTTCAGGCCCAATCCTCGCTTACAGACAGCCGCCCAACCTGAAGCAAATACTTACCATCAAGTATACATCACACTACAGAAACACTAACCCAGGAACCAATCTCCAACAAACCACGTTGCCTTCTCTGCCCCCATATCTACTCTAGCGACACCATCATATGACCCAGCCACACCATCAGAGGCTCATTCACTTGCATATCTACTAATGTGATACATGCCATCATGTGCCAGCAATGCCCCTCTGCCATGTACATTGGTCAAACCAGACAGTCTCTGCTTAAAAAGATAAATGGACACAAATCAGACATCAGGAATGGTACCATACAAAAGCCAGTAGGAGAACACTTCAATCTTCCTGGACACTCAATAACAGATTTAAAAGTAACCATCCTGCAACAAAACAACTTCAAAAACAGACTTCAAAGAGAAACTGCTGAGCTACAATTCATTTACAAACAACACCATCAATTGGGGCTTGAATAGGGACTGGGAGTGGCTTGCTCACTACAAAAGCAATTTCCCCACCCTTGGTATTGACACCTCCACATCAATTATTGGCAGTGGACCACATCCATCCTGTCTAAATTGGTCTTCAAAATTGGTTCTCCACTTATAAGATAACACCCTTCTCCATGTGCCAATATATATTTATGCCTCTCTCTGTAATTTTCACTCCATGCATCTGAAGAAGTGGGTTTTTTACCCACGAA